CTTTGAAGACTGTAAAAGAGACAGCGCAGAAAAGTATGTAGTTTTCACTCTCAATTACTTAATAAATTATAATAATAATGCATCCGTTTTATATAGCGCTTTTTTGGACATTCAAAGACGCTTTACATGTCATTATTTATTCACTCTATACACAGTGGTGATAAACTACTACTGTAGCCACAGCTGCCCTGGGGCACACTGACAGAAGCGAGGCAACCAGTATGTGCCATCGGCCCCTCTGACCACCACCAACCATTCACACACACACACCAGACTCATTCTATAATTACATTATAATTACAGCCCCTTGTTGCCAGAGTCTCTCCATGTTCAGCCCAAACACATAGAAGCTCCTCCAGCTTTGATTACTTGTGCAGTCCACCTGCTCAAGGTTGGGGTTGGGTAGAGGTCAAACCTGATGGATTCCACCAAGAAAATAAACAATCTAAATGTGCTTTCTGATTGGATGTTAACACTAATACGTTATTTTTTTATTTTTTATAAAAAATGTTACAATGGGATACAGATAAAATATGATGGTGTCATTTGTTTTTTTTACCAATATCCCAGGAGTGTAAAATGCATTTGTTACACCCCTCTTTGTGATGCACAAATGTCATGATTTGTACCGGGGCATGATGCTTATTTATTCTTGAGGCAAAGAGCGAGAATGGAGGGAGAGGCAGAGGCAGAGTACACACACACATACACATACACACACAATTACAAATGCACACCGTCACAGAGGATTGGAGGGGGCAGGCACGGACCAACCATGCAACCATTTAAAACAAGTTAACTGAACAAAACTGCATAATAAGAACAAACGTGTGTGCATCAGGCTGAGATTTTTTTTTGGTTGTTACATTCAAATTAATTTTGAAACCCTCATATTTTTGTTTCCAAATACACTCATGATTTTCTTCCAAAGTGAGACGCTGGAGACGGAGCAAAGCTTTCTAGGCAAGGCAAGGCAAGGCAAGTTTATTTGTATAGCACAATTCATACACAAGGCAACTCAAAGTGCTGAACAAGAAAGCATTAAAATCATAAATAATCACAGAACATTAAAAAGAAAGATAAAAATATAAAATCCCTCAGTTGTATGCACAGCTAAACAGAACTGTTTTTAACCCGGTTTTAACATTGTCAGAGAGGAGGCCTGTCTCACATCTTCAGGAAGATTGTTCCAGATTATAAATTGGGTTTTCAGCCGCTGCAACACATCTATTTGCAACAATTCAGAGTTAAAGGTATTTTGGGTGATCTTTCTAACAATTACAAATGTAATGTGTTAAAATGACAGGAGGCACATCGCTGTAGTTTGCACACACACGTATGACGCACTCGTGCACAATGCGTAACTTTCTTCTCTGAGAACATGACTGAGTGCAACACGAGCGTTCAGGACACAGTTTTGAGCATTAATGTAGGAAAGTCCAACTACAATATAAGTATTGGATGGAGTTTTAATGTTGTTTTCTTACCGGTAGTGAGGCAGGACGTAGCGCTGTGTCTTCTGCATTGCCTAGCTCTGCAGGTTAGCTAGGTTAGACAAAGTCTTATTCCCAGGGGCAAAAATCCCGGCTTTCCTGATCCTGACTCTCCTGGTCCTGGCTCTCCCGGTTCCTCTGTCTCTGTTCTTTTTGAGAAAGGCGTTCTAACTATTTAGTTACCAGAACGATGTATTCACCTCCTTCAGCCGTAGAGGGTTGAAAAACTAGTTGACGTGTTACACATATTAGCATATTTGTTTGTTTTTGTTTGTGACATGAACGTGCATCCACTTCTATGGGCTACACTACAGACCATAATTGACGTCTCGTGTATCCAATCAGATGACAGGCTTTCTCGGGGCCAGCTTGCAGGCCCTGAGGTAGGAGACTTGACACTGATTGGTTGATGCCCCAGGTTCTTTTTCATTGACTATAAGCTAGCGCAGGCCAGCAATGTAGTTTCTGAAGGCCCAGAGGCAGATTTTGGGCCAAAGCAACACATGACACTCAGCAAAAAAAAAAAAAAAAAAAAAAAAAAAAAATAATAATATTATTTATATATATATATATATATTTAATCATGTTTAGTACAGCAGAGAAGGCCTTGCAGGCATTGAGGGTCCGCCACTGCTCAAACGTGTCCTCGGTTTTCTCCGGGGTCTCCTTTCGGCGGGACAAGCCCGGAACATCTCCCCACGGAGGTGTTCAGGAGGCATCCAAAACAGATGTCAAGCCAACTTGACTCCTCTTGCAGTGGCTCTACTTCAAGCTCCTCCCGCGTGACTGAGCTCCTCACCCTATCGCTAAAGAAGCGCCCAGTCACTCTCCGCAAGAAACAAATTTTGAACGCTTGTATCCGCAATCTTGTTCTATGGTCCAATCTTGACCGTAGGTGAGGGTGGAAATATAGATTGACCGTCTGTCTAACTAGTGCTTCATTCTTCCCACACTTGTGAACAAGATCCCAAGATTCTTTAAATACACTTGAGGAAGGACCTCTCCACTTCCTCGAGAGGGCAAGGATCATTTTTCCGGTTAAGCACCATGACCTAGGATTTGGAGGTGCTGATTCTCATCCCAGCCGCTTCACACTCGGCTTCAAACCGTCCCAGTGCATGCTTCAGGTCCTGGTTAGTTGGAACCAACAGCACAACATAGTCCGCAAACAGCAGAGATGAAATCCTGTGGTCACCAAACTGGACTCCTGCGCCAGAAGTTATATAGGGATCCAACGACCATGGCAGAGGACCACATACCCTCGGAGAACCCCCCAAAGGACAACCCGGGAACACGATCGAATGCCCTCTCCAGATCCACAAAGAAAATATGGACAGGTTGGGCAAACTCCCATAATCCCTAGAGTATAAAGAGCTGATCAAGTGTTCCCTGGCCGGGGAATTTGTGTACTTGGATGATCCTAGGAGCTATTTTGCCTGCAGGCTTGATGGTAGGGTCTCCCATGGCAAACAGTTCCTAGATGATGAGTAAGATGAGGTCCAAAACCCTCCATGTACAGCGCAATATCGAGAACCATGACATCGCTCGGTATGGCGTAGCTGGGGTCCCATCCTGGAGCCTCATCCACGAGCCAGGCCAGGGGTTGGGGCTAGTGTGTGAGCACCTGGTGGCTGGGCCTTTGCCAATGGAGCCCGGCCTGGCTTAGGCCAAAAGGACAACGTGGGCCTGCCCTCCTTTTGGCTCACCAGTCTCAGAGGGATCCATGGGGGTCGGGTGCCGAGAAGGCAAAGACCTTGACAACTCGGTCTTCACACGCAGCATCTAACAAACTTGAATTAATTACAAACCTTTAAAGACGCAATATTGCATTTTTGCATCTTCTATAACTCCTATGTGTCATTCATTGATGTGATTTCTGTGTGAAAAGCTGATGCTGTTTGTTTACTGTGATTAATAACATTGTGCAACATGTTATTCCTGTTTGGACACAAGCCATAATAATACAGCTAAAATGTATCTTTATTCTTTCATGAACTAGATTTGAGTCAACAAATGTCATAAAAGTAAGAAAAGGTCTCAAATGACCATTGTCCACATCCACACTGTAAAAATCTGTATTGAGACATTTGTATCCTCTCAGATAAAACAAACTGGGTTGAAGTTACTGTTTACAAAGACAAACTGTTTCTCAGGGATTGTTGGAAAATGCTGTTCTCTCAGCTCAGAATGCGTAGCACAATTTGTATTCAGAGTTCCACACAATCAGGCCGTGTCTGTTCATATTTCATACAGAGTAGGGCACTAAACATACCTTGAAAATGGGTGCCAGAATGAGGAGGGGGCTCCCAGGGGGATTCCTGCGCCTGCGTTAGTACCTTATCCATACCTTTTCTCAAGTCCCATCTGTTTGCCTGCTCAAATCCCTGTGGCCTGTGCTAAACACAGTGCTGTGCTCCACTCTACAATTGGATAGGGAGAAACGAATGGGCAATATTTGGTATTTAAATGTGCAGTGTGTGATGCATGGCTTTGCTCTTATGAAACCTTATCCCCAGAGTAACATTTAGCTACTGCTGAGCAGGTTATACATGCGACTGGTTAGGGGCACCCACACACTATAAGATGAACTGAGAGCAAAATTAATGGCAAAGTAAGTTGAGGGAGAATTTGCTCTGCTTGTTGTATCTATGTATTACTTTGTTAGACATTTTTTCTCTCAAGAGTTTCATTTGCACATGTCTTGGTTTACTTTGTAAGGCAATTAGCTTTCACAAACCCCAAGCTCCAAATCACTTCAGCATGAGGGGAACACACAAAAACAGTGCCTCTGTCAAGTTGAAAGAGTGATTATAGATGTGAATGGAAGCCATGATAATTACTGTACATGTTCACCTCAGGAGAGGGGCGTGAGCTTCTGTTCTGAGGGTGACACTCAGACCACCTCCCCACACTGTGTGACAGGTGCAGAACTCAAAGTTTGTTGGATCCTCAGCGGGGGCATGGACAGGAGATCATGCCCAGGGAGCTGTCCCCTGCTTTTTGTTTTAAGGCAATGCAGACATGTACCTCTTAGTGCCATGTGTTTCTCTGGGGCAGCTGTCCCAGGGTGAAAGCCATCCCCTTTCATAGTCCACACGCTATAACTAACAACAATTTGTTACACCAACTATTCCCCCCACAACATTTATTGGCCAAAATAGCATTGGCTGAAAAGATGAGTCAGTCCAAAGTTTGATAAAGGCATAGCGATATCATGACAAGGATACAGAAACATCGAAGCTTTGTGCAACAGAAGTACCATTCCCAGAACACAACTGAATACACACGCTCTCCCCTGGCTGATTTCCAATGATTCATTTATGTGGGCTGCTCCCAGTTATAGGAGGCTAATGAGGAGGAGAAATGTGCTCTGCCCATCTCTTGTATGTGGCAGCCTGAAGCCCTGTCTCAGCTGCTCGGGGTTGTCACGCGCCTCTGAGCTCCTGATGTGGCGTATTAGGCAGGACAATCGTTATTAAGCACATTTCAGGCTCAATTACCACTCAAATGCACAGCCATCAAGGCTCCAGCATCGGCTCTCAACAGATGGTTGTGGTGTCAGATAGACAGGATTTGTGATGTCTTTGTCAGAGTAGGTGCTGGAGAACCGGCGACCATATTGGCACCAGTCAAAATGACTTCATTCACATATTTGAGTCAGACTGCATGAAATTAATGGTTCATCATAGCACATTCCTGCTCATCAACAATCAGTAGTGGAGACAGAGGAGAAATATGGAGACATTTAAAACATATCAATGTTGTTACAGTCCCATAGGAGGCCCCAGGCAAGGACCTGGACATGCTGAGTCCATGCCTTTCAGGTCTGGGAAAGCCTCAGGATTAACAAGACGGTTGGAGCAAAGTTGGAGCAAAGGGTAAAACTCCCACTCATTCAGATTATGGCAATAATTTGGCTCTGGATAAGTAAAAGAAAATGTATGACAGTTATTACTTCCTTTCTCTGATCAGATGGGATGTTTTGTCCATGGAATGTTGATTTTTGAAGTGCTATATTAAACTGATGTATTATTATTATTATTATTAGTATTATTATTTGTTAGACCCTTCAATCATGGTTAAGCAGAACTTAAAAAGAAAAAAGATTGATTGAGCGCAAATGTGTAAAGAGTTTTGCACATCATTTATATGGTATTATTTCACATTTTTTGCACGCATTATTGGGTTTGATGATCTTGTTTTGCTTGTAAACACTTAATACAACAAATAATATCTTATTTTTACTCACAAATCCCAAAACACTTTGTAGTGATATAGCAAATATGGAAATAACTCATGCATGCTAAGGATGATTATGATAATGCTGATCTCCTAATGTAATTTGACTCTGTAAGTAACATCACTGCTGCAAATCTAATCAAATGCTTTGGTTTGTCTCCAAAACAACCTAGAGACACGACTGCAACAATCTTTGAACTGTAAATCACATTTGAAAGCTCAGTGCGTTTCCAATTTGTTGTGTTTGAGTTACTTATCATCGCATCTGCTGTAAGCGAGAGTGAGCAAGCGACGGAGAAGCTACACTTAGCCTATTTAACCACCCACCTGGACCCACACCACCCACCTTTGAATGTGAGTCATTCTCTGCCTTCTATCTCAGAAGGGCTGAGCGCAGAATCAACATCGCAGCTTGGGACAGCTCCGCTCCGGCGTCTACGCGCATGTGGGCGGAACAGCCTTATGGCTTCAGTCATTCAGCCGACCGTGAGGGCATCAAAGACACACAAGCAAAGAGCCAAAGAACCAGGCGAGAAGATTGAGGGAGGGAGAACGAGAAACAACAACTCAAAATGAGATGTCAAGCAAAGAAAATAAAAATATGAGGGGGAGGTGAGGATCCATAGACAGAAAGTGAAATAAGAAAGCCAAGAAGGAGCAGGACAGACAGGCCAGACACACAGGAGCGGGAATCGGCAACGGCAAATGTGGCGCAAACAAAGAAAACATGACAAAGAGGCGTGAGTGTGCGTCCACTGGCTGACACACAAACAGCCCATCTCACCTCCTGCACCACACTCCACTCAGCGTGCACACAACTTCTATCCTTTTCCCGCACCATAAGTTGGCATGTGCACCACGGCATTTGTTCTGCCAAATAATATTAGGAAATGGGCAGGCAGTCGAGACAGGACCTGTTTCTGAGATGGCAAGTAGAGAATGTGCGAGAGCAGTTAGAAGAGGATTCTCAGCGTGTGACGATTCACAGTGTGGACACAAATGCAGGGACTGTTCTTTGGGAAATTATAAATGTGTCAGCGAAGTATGGAGGTCTTTTGGAGTGATGGTAATCAAGAAAGTATGATTAAGAAATAGGCCAAAGGCTTTCACAAGTTTATTGAGGAATACTTAGCACCAATCAGTTTATACCTCCTACAGTTCTCTTCTTTAACATTTTAAATTCTCTGACTTCACAGAGAGCTGTTGTTCATTGCCATCACTAAGCTTTCCTCTTTCACTTTGAAACATTGGTTCAAGCTTCAACTCAGCTGTCAGCATTCCAATCTCTTATATATATGCATATATCCTTGCATTGTTTGTTCATTTTACATTTCCTCCAAGCGCTACATTCTAAATCGTATTCAGACCACTACTTCTCAAGAGCTCCTCTGATCCCATCAGGCAATCCTTTTTTTGTAAGTGCTGACACTATAAAGCTCCTGCATGGGCGATAGAGCTTGGATTCCTATAAGCCCAAAGAGAATGGGTGTTGTTCCATCTCTGTGACTAGAGGAGCGTTGTGCTCTAATGTGATTAGTGAGACATTAACGCCTCTGTGTTCAACCAGGCGAAGCAATAGCAGACATGCTGTGTGCTTTACCCAACACAAAACAACTTCTTATTCAAACTACCTGATGACTTTTCTATAAACATATGAACTAAATGACAAAAGATGCAGACTTCTGGGATCGTGTCACAGCAGAAGACATTTTCTTGTTGGTAAAAGGACATTTTTCAGCATGCACATGGTTTTAAACCACACGACTCATGGACGCTCCTCTTAGCAGCTACCTTGGTAGATATGTTAGCTTCAACCTTCAGTCTGCATACTTTTGTAATGACAAGATCAACTTTAACCATACTTACATCAAAAGTTACGTAAAAGATCCATACATAGTGAAAGCACCCCAGGATGATCAGAAAGATCAAAAGCAGAGGCATTGTAACACATTTACCAGAAATTTGAACGATGAATACATATAATTACAAGAGGAACATGCACGTGTTCTTCCCTGACCATACCGATACTGTTTTGATCTTATCATAACAAAGTGCTGCTGCTGTCTGCATCTTAATAAACATGCATCAGGTATCAGGGAAATATATCCTCAAAAACTTTCTGCAATTTTTTTTTTTTTTTTTTAATCTGATGTCATCCAGAGTCCAATGGAAACAAAAAGATCAATATTAAGCGCAAATGATTATAAGCAGCAGGCTCTAATTTTTAGAGAGAAATGTAATTTTGTACTTGTACAAGCCGCACCGGATTCAAAGCAATCCCATGTTATAATATTGATTTTAAAAAAGCCCAGCAATATTCATCATGTTTTCTTATTACTGTAAGAAGTGAGTCACTGACTGTCAAGCAGAAAGATCTACTGGTACTCTTTTCACTTTCATGTCGAAACAGAGAACCAAAAAACAATTTATTATACGAGATATTTTCACAAAGATATTATGAGTGAGGACTTTTAAAAGTTATTTAATAAACGCTTGGTAACAAAAAAATACATAATAAAAATGCTAACTATTGCCGTAATCTTTGTTAATAATTAAAATGTTGGTCACTCAATATTGAGTAAGAGTATTGCTAATGACGCATGCGGTGGATGAGGTCACCATTGTTGACGTGGGTGAGAACAAAATTAAAAAATCATACAATTTAATTGGACCTCTGTGAACTACTCATCAATTCTTTTAGACTGCTATTTCATAGCAAAATGTTTTTGGTGAGGAGAAACATTTAAATTAAATTAAGCCGCTCCTTAGAATTAGCTGCAGCGTTCAACGTGCGGGGACAAAAGCGTGGCTTATAGGTTGGAATTTATGGTACTAGTATGGGATGGATTTTTCTACATTTGCAGTGGATTTAAAAACTCACAATGTACACAAACGCATAAGCTGAGCACACTCAGGCAGTCACATAAACATGATGCTTTACATGATTAATTACATGGAAGTGGTCTACATAACAATTTAAATAGTGAAAATGATGTAACTTATAGAATACATTATAATGTTGTAACTTGTATAGTAGACTGAGCATACATGGCTCCTATATAGACCGTCCACTCTCCCACCTCACATTCTCTGTACCCCTCTGCTTACTGCTATCATCACTCCCGCTCAATCCACTCGCCGAAGTAATACCCAAACGCTTTTCATCACATAAAACAAAGGAAAACACAGTGTAAGCATGTGATTGGCTGAGAATAAGGATACTGTGCAGATCCGTTGGGGCCTGGGCAGGAGGCAGAGATAGACGGCAGAGAGTAACAGCCAGGCCATTATTTGGGCAGGACTGGGTTGTTTGTTTTCACGCTGTCCTTTTTGTGTTTCTACATGGGGGCTTGACTGAAGTCCAGTGGCCAGAGCTTGCCATGGAAGTGATGAATGGTCACTGGTAATCTAGGCCATTGCACTGAAAGACTATCAATTCAAGCTGCTTCACTGTAACTGTAAAAGGAACGGGTGAGGGGTGTGGAGAAGTACCTTAAGTGAAATAATACAAAAAGAATTGTTGTTATTCCACATGCAGTGTATGTGTATCTGTGATAGAGTCAAATGGGGGAAAGGGCTAAAAGATTACAGCTGCCTGGTGTGTGTGGGAAGTAGCTGAGAAATGCTTCCCATTGGCCATTCCCATGAACCCTTGCACTTGAAGGGGCATGAGTGAGGACAGGGGAGTACAGCACAACTGGCAGAAGGTACACATAATGTCAAAAAGAAAATATGTTTTCAACAATAAAATTATTCATACTGCCGGATCAGTCTATATTACTCTTGTGGTAAAGTAATAAACTTTGGCTTTATGTTTTCTTTACTATTTTTTGGTGGATTTTATATTCAACGTAAAGATGGAAGGAAGATGCCTTGTTGCATTCAGGCAAAAAAATAAGTGACAAACACAAACTCAGTAAACAGTTTTGGTGTGAAGATCTGTTAATGATAAAAACATTTTTACTATAACAAAACTGGAAAAGCACTTGTATAGCGCAGACCTCTGCGAAGTGCAATGTTCCATTCCTTTAAAAATTATGACTACTGATTTTGATGCTTATTGTAGCTCCATAGCTCCGTAAGAGAGAAAAGCCCTTATGCCTCTGTCCTCAGCCTGAAGGGTTGGTGGGTTTTGGGGCATTTTGCATGAGGTATACTATGAAGAACAAAGAAAATAATAATAAAAAACCCATGTGGTTCGAAGTCTTATAGCCCAAGAATGACTGTATGGAACTGTACGTTCTGCCTGAGGGCAGCAGGTGGAACAGATGACGAGCAGGATGGTAGCGGTCACGCAGGATGTTCTGTACTCTCCTCAGGCAGCGTGTGGTGTAGATGAGACTGATCTCTGGAAGAGTTGTCCCAACGTTTGCATCACCCACTGGATTTCCTTTTGGATCGTCTTAGTGGAGATTGAGAACCACACTAAAAACCCAAAGGTCAGAGGACTGCAAATTGTGCAGTTGTAAAAGTTCATCATGAGCGGTCTGGGAATATACAGTAGTTGCCCCTAAACTTCCTTGGGTAATAGAGGCGTTGTTGTTGGGCCCTACCCACTACTGACACAATATCACACATAGACCGTGAAAGAACCTCTTCCACGGTCAAGCCCAGGGATTTAGAATGGCTAACCCTCTCCACCACCTCAGAGCAGATGGACGGAAGACTTTGGTTTTTGAGACGGTTCCTGTGGAAGTCCACACTAATTTCCTTGGTCTTCATGATGTTTAAGATGTTTTATTGTCTAAAATGTTTTTTTTTAAATCAAATCTTGCTTCTGTCAAGTTGATCCAACGTACTGTGAGCTCTATTTTAGTTCTGGATTATTCCATTGGTGAAACTTGGCTACTTGATTGTAGTTATTTAACTTACATACAGTTTAAAAATATAAATTACCCTCCCCCACACTAAGTTTCCCATGCATGCCAAAGCTTAGGAGAGTTTATTTTTTGAACCAAATCTGTTTAGCCACTGTAGATTTTTACATTTAAAAGAAAAAAGGGTGTAATTATGTGCAGATCCAACATGATCACATGACGCTCAAATTAAAGTAGTTGCAGCCTTGTGAGCCCTGGACAATTTGCTGTTGTTATACAGTCTATGCTCCTGCATTCTATGCAATTCATTTCTCTGAGAGGAGGCGAAGACATGCAATGTAGTCCTTAAAGGAGCTTTACCCATTTCTGCAAGGATTTTTTCAGTTTGAATGTTTCGCATCGCCCCCCCAACTCGGTCACAGGCTTCTCATTTCCCCTACGCTCTCATCCCACAAAGCCATCTAGTTTTATTTGCGATACAAAAGCAACACACTGCTAACAAAATATATAACTGAAAGATTACCGCTAGTTTTGCGTCAAAATGTAGTCAGAGCATAGATAGTCTTTACTGTCTATGGATGGTCCCGCTCCCGCAGGTCTCCAGAGAATACAATGTAAGAATTTTTTAATTTTTTAATTCTTTGATCATTTTTTTTGCTTTAGTTCCCTCTTCTCTTCCTCACTGTTGCGTCATTTGGGCTGTTATGCTGTGTCTGCAGTTACAG